GATATGCAGTAGAATTTTTAGATACCAAGTTAGTACCCATACTTAGTAAAAAGTTTGAATAACAATTGTTGTTGTTTTATACAATGAATTGTATAAAATTTTTCTGAATATTAACTGTACAAAACTATGTGAATTTTTTGGTTATCTGATTTGAAAAAATAATTATATAGAAATATTAAGATATAATTCAGGTTTGAAATAGCATTATCATGTGATTTATTTTACAAACAGTGCATAATGTTTGGCCAGCTTTAAATAATGAAAAGTAATTTTTAAAATCAAAAATTTTGATTTCTCTAATTTAATTTGATTTTTTACTTCTGCATGAATTAGAAATAAAATTAAATAAATGTTGTTTAACATTTCATTAATTAACCCTCATCAATTTCCTTTCCTTTACTCTCCTCTTCTTCTAATTATTTTAAACATACTTTACTTTACTAACTTCTTCCAGCTCTTCTTCAGACAATTTCTTGTGATGTACTTCTTCCTTTATATAAAGTTCAAAGTTCTCTTGGTAAGTTTTTAACGCGTTGCTGATTAATGCACATGCACTGCACATATTTCTAAATTTAGGATGCATCAACTATTAAATTACCATATTATTTATAATAATATGTTAAATTATAATTTATTATACTATATTTTATTTCTAATATAATATATGTATATAATTTGCTTTTTTTCATTTGTCTTAAAAATTCAGGCAACTATTAGAAAAAGAAATAGGATGTCTGAAATTATTGTTAAATTTAATTATAATTTTTATTCATTCTGAATCTATTTAGTCTGGATATTTAAAATTGCATTGTTTGCAGATTATTATGCAGTATCTGCAGATCACTGCAGTAAGCTATATCTTACACTCTTGAATACTGTTTTCCTATTCTTTTTTGGAGGCAATATGTACACTTTTCTCTTGATACTGATGTTGCCTGTGGAGAATCTGGTTTCTTTCTCAACACTTCTAGGTTTTTCATGCAGAGATCCTCCTCCTCATTGTCTGTGACAAAGGAGCCTACATTTTCTTTCTCAGACTTTTTAATCAAGCCATTTCAGAAACATTTCATACATTTTATGATAATACGTATACACAATATCACTTTGTAGTTGGAATTGTACAGTACAACTTCAAATGCAAATAAAAGGACACAGATTAATTGCAAGTTAACACTGTGCTAACTTGTCTAATATAACTAAGACAAAGGCAGAACTGAAAGCATTAGTGATGACTATTATTTCTGATTCCAGTATCTTGTTAATGAGGATACTTGGGTAGAAAGCTAGACAAATATTTGGCATAAAACATCCAAGAAGCCCAAGTTACAAGCATTTTCAAATGAAAGATGAGTGCAGTGCTTATCCTTGAGTAATAGTGGATTAATTGTATATTTTGTGACATAAAATATAATTTTTTTTTGTTTTTAAAACTTTACAGTTTTATATATATAAAATATATTCATTTAATTTTTGAAATTTTTATATATATAAATTAGAAATGTGTTATAAAACTCAAAAAACATTGATTAGTAAATCTTTAATATATATAATGCTTTTGAATTGTTTTTAATAAATGTGTTATAAAACACATCATTATGAAAAATATGAAATTGCTTTTCTGGAAAGATTACATTGTGTGTGCCAATTTCTAAAATATTTAATTTGATAACTTATGAATTAACATTTCTTTATTAATAAATAATAAATAACATTTTAATTGAATCAATTTTAAGTATAAAAGATTTTGAAATATCAGATGATCAAGGTAATTAAAATGCCTGCTGCTCTGAGATATGTATCTGGTCTGGCTCAGATATGTTGATTTCAATTCTGTCACTACTTAGCCATATAATTTTGACTTATCTAAATCTGTGATGAGCATGTTAAAATGTCATCTTAGTTCCTGTGAACATAAATTGAAGTTTTTAACATATCTTTCACAGATTTCTAATTATTTTGTATTTATTTCTAATTAATGAAACCTTTAATGTTACCTGAAAATAAAATTTAAAAAATGTTACTTGATTTTTAAGCATAAAAGTAAAATATTCTTTAAAAGCATGCATAAACACACACCATGTACACATTTTATTTCTTAGAATAAATTATTGAGCATGGCAGTGATAATAAAGTATAATAATCACCCAACATTCAGTAATCTTGTCTCAACGTTTATAAACGTCCATTTGGATTGCCATTTGGTGATTGTTTAAATTTATTTGTAATATCTCTAAATTTCAAAACTTCTGATTAAATACATTGTCCAGCAGTCAGAAAGGGTAATAATCAGATGGTGAGCTGACTGAATAGTGTGGGAGATGGAATAAAATTTCTCAACAAACACTTTGTAGCTTATGTTCTGTATAAGATTTTCCATTGTTCTGAATGAAGATGATGATTACAATTAACCAGTATGGATTGCTTTTGAAGCATGCATTTATGGATTTGCTGCAGTTATGCCGACTTCCATAATTGTTTGACTGGGGACTGAAGTTCAAAACAGATGAATCTGTTATTTGATCAGATATGCAGTAGAATTTTTAGATACCAAGTTAGTACCCATACTTAGTAAAAAGTTTGAATAACAATTGTTGTTGTTTTATACAATGAATTGTATAAAATTTTTCTGAATATTAACTGTACAAAACTATGTGAATTTTTTGGTTATCTGATTTGAAAAAATAATTATATAGAAATATTAAGATATAATTCAGGTTTGAAATAGCATTATCATGTGATTTATTTTACAAACAGTGCATAATGTTTGGCCAGCTTTAAATAATGAAAAGTAATTTTTAAAATCAAAAATTTTGATTTCTCTAATTTAATTTGATTTTTTACTTCTGCATGAATTAGAAATAAAATTAAATAAATGTTGTTTAACATTTCATTAATTAACCCTCATCAATTTCCTTTCCTTTACTCTCCTCTTCTTCTAATTATTTTAAACATACTTTACTTTACTAACTTCTTCCAGCTCTTCTTCAGACAATTTCTTGTGATGTACTTCTTCCTTTATATAAAGTTCAAAGTTCTCTTGGTAAGTTTTTAACGCGTTGCTGATTAATGCACATGCACTGCACATATTTCTAAATTTAGGATGCATCAACTATTAAATTACCATATTATTTATAATAATATGTTAAATTATAATTTATTATACTATATTTTATTTCTAATATAATATATGTATATAATTTGCTTTTTTTCATTTGTCTTAAAAATTCAGGCAACTATTAGTATACTGTTATTAATTAATTAACTATCATTAATATACTGCAAGTCAGTATACAAGTATCACTAGATATTTTTTATGAATTTTATTTCACTTATACTGTCTTTCTCTGTAAAAACTTTTTAATTGAAAAATTATAGACTTCATAATCTAATATTTATATTTGTAGTTTCATATCTTTGGTGTACAAACTAATAATCTGCTCATTAGAATAACATTATAAGCAAAATAAACTATTTAATAGTACTACTCAAATATCAAATAAAATTCAAAATTTATAAAAGTGAAAGGTGAGCTTGAATAATAATAATGCTACAATGTAGTTAATTATTAATGATACTATAATATTGAAAATGATTGTAATTTTTGAAGGATTTATGTTTATATTTCTGCTCTATACATGGTATTTAATAAGCAGCTAAACTTTTAATTTAATTTATTGTTTTAAGTTAAATAGCAAACTACAGATTCTTGTTTAAGTGCTTCCTTACAATGATAAATAGTTTTGAAGCTGTCTGGATTATCATAACAAACTGTATTGTATCACAGTACTTTATCTTACAGGGGTCTGTTAGAACCATATTAAAATTTTATATTTTTATTTTGTTTTATTAATTAACTGTATTATTAGGAACAAAACTGTATAAGCTAGCAATAACAGAAGTTGAAGATGCACAATAAGTCCTGAAAGTACTGTGTAACATCTATTAGCTTATAAAAATTTTACAAGTAAATACAGTAATACCTCGACTTACGCTTCCCTGCCATACGCAAACCTGGAGTTACGCGATTTTCAAATCTTTTTGGTTCGTCTTTTGTTTGAGCGCCACGCAACTCTCGATTACTCATTCCCCCCACACTATTGTTCAGCTTACATGTCCAGATTACATATTTCTAGATCAGCAGATCAGCATATTTCTAGATATATATCAGCAGAGTCCAGCTTACATATTTCTGTATTTGTTATATCTATGGAGACTTGAGAGACTCTGTGGTGATTTCTTGTAACCGTGAACGAATCAAAAGACGAGATAAGATTAACGAGAACATTTATTAGCTTACGTACATCCGACTTGGATTTTACACAAATTGCAAAATTATACCCCAATTTACGCGAATTCGGCTTACGCGGTTATCGCTCGGTCCCACCTATCGGGTAAGTTCGGGGTATTACTGTATAGATGTATGTACTATAATAATTGTGTGTGTTCCAAATATGTTAATTTTGTTTATATTTGCAAAAATGAGAAGGATTGTAAAGCTATATAAACATATAGTGTTAAATTTTCATATCACTACATTTTTATTGCATTAATTATTTTGCAAACAAATGTAAATTTCTAGTAATGTCATTCATTAGTTTTTATATGAAATTGTTTGGAAAACATTTTTTACAGTTGATAATGATTTAAAGACATTTTATTTGATCAAAAACTAATAATAATAATCAGAGTCTATCAGATTTCTAGCTAGTACTTTTATTTTAAAACCTAAGTTCAAAATTTTGATACACTTAATGAAGGGTTAAATATAAAAAATTCCAATTGAAACAAACAAAATGTTAAATTTAACTTAAGAAGTTATAATAATTGTTTGTGACAATGCAAAGTCATTGAACTAGTGTAATGTCTACTAGTTCAATGGCAGTGTAGATAGTGTAGTAACTTATTTTATCACAAGTTATGGATGTATGAAAAAATAATATTACAGTAATACAGATAAAATTAAATAGAAGTAAAGTGAGTTAATATTTTAATTTTTATAGCGAGCAGTAGACCAGGATCTCCTTCTTCTAAGCTTAGTTATGCTACTTATCAAGGGGCAGGTGATACTGGCACCACTGGTCGTTCAAGAAGAAAATCTGGAATACCAGCTGTTACTAGTACCAGTAGAGAATCAAGTCCAACTCGAAATTCTTATAGTGGTATTCTAGTTTTTTCATTTAGAATTTATTTTATTTTCAATAATAATAATTGTTATAATTGTCATTTTTATTTGTAATAGGTTTAGAGCGAAGAGGAAGTTTTCGCTCTAGATTACTTTCAGGTACTGGTGATAGGTATTCTACTACTGGTATTAACTGTAAGAATTTTCACATTATTTTTTTTTTATTAAATATAAAGCTATTTTTTACATTTATAAATATCTTATAATTATAGCTGATATTATGACAGCAAGAAGATCATTTCAACAAAATAAAGAAATTGACTCTACGGTTCCTGATATTTTGGTTATCATTATTTTTTTTTTTATACTAAACATTTTTGTATAAATTGTAAATTTAACATTTTTAAAAAATGTAATGTTATATTTATATGGAATATAACATATTTTAGCATATATTTACTTTTTCATCTAATTTGTTAATTGATATTTTAATTAATTTTTAAATATAATCAGTTATATTTGACTTTGATTATTTTAATGTTTGCATATTGTAAATGTTAAGGATATATTTTTATATGAATTTTCATATATGTAAATCTGTGTTTCATATTAATATATATGATATTTATACAGACTGCCCCTCCAATTCAGAGGAAGTATGGTGCTTTTGAAGATCAATCAGATGAAAGTGAGACGTCAAGTGTGTGTTCCGATCGCTCATTTAGTGCATTTGGTAGAAATATAGATGTAAGTTAAAATCTATTTTAATATATTTTCTGGTTAAATGAATCAGGTACAGATAATGTTCATGATACAAAAAGTATTTGTTTTAGCTGTTTGTTATGTTTGTAGTTTATTTTAATGAATGTACAGTAGTGCTTGCAAGCAAACTGTCACTAGAATTTGAAAGACAAAATCAATAAGTATGAATAATATAATATAAAAATAGGCAGAGAATAGATGTTTTTATTTATTTATTAACAAAATGAAGGAATAAGATATATATCCATGATATACTATGAGAGTTGGGTAATAAATAAGTTCTTACAAAAATAGTTTGATGGAGATAGAATACTATGACCATTTGTAAAAAGTAGTAAAAAATTATTTATTACATATACAGGTAACCCCCATATAACAAGGCACTTCTATAGCACGGATTCACTCTAACACGGTTTAAAAATTGGGAACATCCCCCATATAACGCGGTGCTTTTAAAGCACGGGTTTACTCTAACACGGTTCGGGAATTGGGTAAAACCCTTGTACAACATAAAATGTAATAAAGGGTGCATTCTTTTATACCTCTGCATAACTCCGCGCGAGCATTCTAATTGTTTTTGTGGCTACTTTGAATGCTCTTTCAACAAATAATTCATTTAATGGTTAAATTATACAGTTGGGATCCTTCTTTTGCCTCCAAAAGCTCATTTTAGAATTATAGATTCCTCGACACGATAATATTGGTAGTGCTGGCGCTGCCATCTTTCTTTCACCGTTGTTCCTAAATGCCTACAAACAGCAGTGCACTCCTGTTGCAGAGTGACTGCTATTAACGAACGCACCCACAAACTGTTACCAGTTGATGATGCTCATGCTGAGATCATCATATAGAATGAATAATCCTCTGATAAAATATTTACTTAAATAATAAAGAAGTATTTTACCTATGAAAAAAATGAATCATAAATCAGATTTAAATAAGGATTTAACAGCATGTTTTCTAATTTTTGGAACCTAACTCCACTTTTCGCACTAGTTCTTTGTTTCATATAACACAGATTCGCATAACATGGCAATTTTTTGGAATGTAACTCCCATGTTATACGGGTGTTACCTGTATATATTTATTATTCAACATGATTGCCAGTTACAAGGATGCATTGTTCTAAATATTTAATCCATTTTTTCCAAACAGCAAAGATGCTTCAAAAAAAATCTGAAATTATAGATAATTCTTCATTTTTATTACAGTCCAGACTTCTGGTTGTTCCAAAAGTTAAAAATGATAATATAAGTTTAACAGTTTTCATTGGATGCTGAATTTCAAGCTGCAAAATATGAATGAGTTAAGGAAAGATCAAAAAGGTTTTCGTATACAGAATGCAAAAATAGATTTAATGTTTGAAAAAAATGTATCATTGTAAATGTGTGTTGTGTATAAATATGTGAATGTGTCTTGAAAATGAATATGTTTGATTTAAAAAAAAAACTTTTTTCCAATTTTTTTAAAAACTGATCAAATTTAACATCACAAAGAAATTCTATAGAATGATAGTACCATAGATAAACATAACAGTTTTTAAAATGATATTTATGAGAAAAATGTTATCGATTGTACTGTTCACTTAACAGATGTTTTTGAGAATGGGAAAAAGAAAATTATTGTCCATTGTTCTCAGAAGGCAGTGTCTGTTTAATTAAAGTAAAAATACATTAATGGTTCTGTTATTGGGATTGGATGTTTTATCTCCTAAGTAGAAATATTTGCTAAACTTACATTTTGTTATTTACTCTTGTTTTTATTTCTTTCTTTGCTTTTTTCCTCCTCCTTTTTGGTTAAGATTCCATCAGAATACATTATACTAATGTATTTATTTCATGTACTTTTTGCTAATCTTTTCTTTCTGTGTTGTAAACAAAATGACTGCCAAGGTACTTTCTCAGTATGTGTACTTTTTGGTTTGTCCCATATTGCATTCCACACCATGATGGTTTAACAAAATCTATTGTATACTTTCTTATCCCTGGTGCTTTGTCTACAAGATTCTCCACACAATTGTCTAATAACTTTTGTTTTTATCTTACTTTTAAATTATAAGATCATTAACATTAGATATAATATTAAGTTGTACAAGTTATTGTACAAGTTAACATATAAGGACCTTGAATAAGTTCTCGCTGTTTTTTTTGTGAAAATTAACACTTTATTTTAAAAAAGTCGTAATAAACACGTCACTGAAAGTATTGTCTGTCGCTAGCCACTACTTTCTCCTATCATTCTAGCAGCATTTGAATTCCATGTCGGAAAAACAACACGTTTTTTGAGGCTATCCAAGAATCAACCCATTTTTTGGCATCTTCATAAGAACGAAAGTGCTGCTCAGCCAGGCCACGTGACATCGATCGGAACAAGTGATAATCGGAAGGGGCGATGTCTGGTGAATATGGCGGGTGGGGTAGGACTTCCCATTTAAGCGTTTCCAAGTACGTTTTCACCGGTTGTGCAACATGTGGCCGAGCATTGTCATGTTGCAAAATCACTTTGTCGTGTCTCTGCTCATATAGCGGCCGTTTTTCCTTCAATGCTTGGCTCAAACGCATCAATTGT